AGACTAGAGAAGTTTAACGTAGGATATCAGCGTGTGATTCTCACAATCGCTATAAGATTTGCAAATGTGCACAAATCAATTTTTTATGCAGCAGTGACCGAGCAATGTAAGTCACGCGCCTTCGTGCATATGGATTAGTAGGGGAAAATGTTTGTGTTCAGTACACCATTAGCTGGAAGAAGCTACCCGCCACATGAGTACGAACACGAGAGAGATTTGAGACAACTGACAAGTGCTTGAGGGAGGAGTTAATGTGATTAACAGAAGACGAATATTTGTTATGATCTCCGACCCTGACAACCAAGCGTATTGATTCTTGTTCTGACCAGTTGCCAACCCCAACCACCACCTATCCATACCCCCGTGCTTTCCTAGTGTCAGTCAGTTCTTTTTTTTCAAAGTATCATCGATGTACTTCCAGAGTAAATGCCAAATGGTTGAACAGATTACCAATCAAGTAACAACTGTGTGTATGTAACTCACACAAGGATCCGGAAGCCACAGCTTTACGCTAAAAGGTATCTGGACCACTTGACCAAAATGCATCATCACTGCAGCCGATCGAGGTATTTCTATTAAGTTAGTTCCGTGTAACCTCGTATACCAGTTGACAGGATCTGGTTGTGAATCAACAGCAAGCACATCAACCCTCGGAAAAGATTGATTCCATTAGTTAATGAGTTAACAAATACGAGCCTGCATCCGTCACCAGATTCTGTTTCCAGAACGATAGTGAATAATTTTTCTACTCCGACATCCGTAAAAATGCCAAGTTGATAAAAATTATGATAAAACCTAGTTAACCTAATTGCAGCAGATGTGTAAGCTATTAAATGTTTCTACGCGTCACGGATGGGATGAAGGCCGATTAGGTAATCGAACAGTTGGGTATTGCTTGACTGGACGAATGGTGGTGGACCATCAGCCACGGTATCTGAAGGTGCAGTGGGTTTTCACGTGATAAGTAATCTCTGCAACAAACCCCCCACCCTATATGTCCACAAAACGCATCGTAAATTGTGACAATCGGGTTCGTCACTAAGCAAAGCCCTCGAAGACACCCGCTTACTCCACAGCCTTTATTTAGACGCATCCTTGTCCCTGTGTATTTTACTCCAAAGATCCACCATGTACCACCGATTGGAGATAAACAATCCTTGAAAATCCCTCTTCTCTCCTAATACACGTTGCACAGGGCACTAGTCATTTTGAACTACTGATCTCATTTTATAAAAGTGTTTTTTTGGAGTCATGCTAATCAAATTGTCCTCCTCTGAACTAAAGCAAGTCACTTGGCAACACAATTGGTTTGACGGAGTAATTCGTTAGGCATTTCTTGCCAGGTTGAATATTGGCCCATAAATTTGTGAGTATCAAAGCATTGCAAAAATGTCAGCAATTATACGAGCGTCTAATCAGAATTATTCGCCTTAGTGTTTTTCGCAATGTCTTTATGAGACCTTCATAATTAATCGTACGCGATAGTTATGGTTGAATAGGATAAGCCATGCACTCATAGTCTCGTTGTTCTGTAGTGGTCGACCTTCCCACCTGCATCAGTCCGCTTGACCCTACTTTCTTACGCATGGACTGACGATTAGCCATAGATTGCGTCCTCTTTTCCGACTGTGCATTGTTCCACTGTTTTCCATCGGATAGATCAGAATAAGAGGTTATTATTGCCGAGGCCGTCAAAGCGAACTTTTGTTTGGCGTCATATCTTCCCTCCCTCGCCGACTCGGAGAGATCGCATGTGACATTGATCAGGTTGAGTGCAACAGAAGTGTACCAAGGAAGATCTTACCAGTGGAGTTTGACTCGTGCAAATCATGACGGCCAAAAAGGATATGAGTTATCGGATACTGACATTCAGTGGTCAGAAATCGATGGATACCGTGGCATGTAGTGCTGACGTGAAACCAACAACTGTAATCGGTTCCCTCGTCCGATTTTGAACTTGCGATAGACAAGCACACATACAGCGCGAATGATTCCGAACGTGAATGAAACAGTGCCCCTAGTCTTTCCGTATCACATGTGACCCACTTTTTCAGCGTCACAGGTGCTGCTTTATTGCACTCTCAGATCAGGGTTTGTGAGAATGAAATCAAAATAAACTGAAGTGAAATGCATCAGTGTATATAGCTTTCACACAAATCGGGCATTATTTTTCACAGGCATAAAATGCGCACTGAAAAAAATGATGCGTGCGAAGGGTAACAGCGAGGCAGGATTGGCGACAAAACGATCGATGAGCGCTGATTCCAAAACGAGGCTACAAATCCCAGTTCGAAACCACCCAGGGACGGGTCAGGTAGACACAGACGAGGCAGTATCGTGAGTAAAGTATAGAAAACTAGAATGGTATCTGATTCAGGAATAAGGCATGCCACATATGTTGGCTGAGGTGAAGTCTATAGTTTTTGCACGAGGAAAAGGATCACACA